AGAGAGAGAGAGAGAGAGAGAGAGAGAAAGAAAGAGAACAGGAGAGAAAGAGTTAAAAGTAATCATTTTCTTATCCTAAAATTAATAATTTTATTAACGTCTAAGGGGGAAAATGATTAAAAATCTGAAGCCTTAAGACACTGAGCATTCATGAGCTGTTGGGCAGCCTTTTCTAGAACACTGGCTGCCCATCCTGGAGTGGGTTATCAGGTTCCTAAAATGAAGACACTGAGAAATGTTCTCCAGCAGCAGGAACATTCCAGAATTTCACACATTTTAGAAAGGTTGTAAAAACACTGGTAATTAGCACAGTATTTTTGTTTCAAATAATATACCATGAGTAAGAAGGGTGGATACACACCTTCTTTTCTAAATATGAAAGACTCTACTGATCATATTGGTAAACTCATGATTTTAAATCCATTTTCAGAAAAGTAAATGATTTTACTATTAGAGAAATATTAGTGATTATATGGAAATGAGGTGTGCTAGGGATTATCAGCGTTTTGATGCCTGCAGCCATTACTTTTTAATGTGTAGGAATTTCACGTAACTTCTATCTTAAAAGCATTTCATAAGCATCAGTTAAAGTACATGAAGTTATTTTAATTAGGGCATACTAGAAAAGTATGGACTGTGAGAATTCAGAAAGGTAAGCCTTCATGGACTGAGTTCCAATACATGATACAAAAACAGAAAATCAAAATAAAAAAGGAGGGAGGAAGGAGGGAGATAAGGAGGAAATAAGGGAAGAGCAAGTATTTAAAAATGCAACAGATTCATAAAGTAGTCCATAGCAATAGACATTTTTTAATATTGTAATATGAGCCAGGACATTAACTCAGGCATTTCCCCCACACTCTCTACATTGAGATTTAAAAAGGGTAATATCCTGGCTAGTTTTGTGCCAACTTGACACAAGCTAGAGTCATCTGAAAAGAGGGAAACTCAATTGAAAAAATGCTTCTATAAGATGCAACTGTAAGGCATTTTCTTAATTAGTGTTTGATTAGGGAGAGTCCAGCCCATTGTGGGTGGTACCATCCCTGATCTGGTGGTCCTGGGTTCCATAAGAAAGCAGGCTGAGCAAACCATGACGAGCAAGCCAGTAAGCAGCTCCCCTCCATGGCCTCTGCATCAGCTCCTGCCTCCAGGTTCCTACCCTGTTTGAGTTCCTGTTCTGACTTCCTTCAATGATGGGTAATGATGTGGAAGTAAAAGTCAAATAAACCCTTTCCTCCCCAACTTGCTTTTGGTCATGGTGTTTCATCATAGGAATAGAAACCCTGACTGAGACAGGTACAAAGTTTTTCCGAAGATAAAGATGCCAGCTGTGGTACAGAGACATGTCTCCCAGCCACTGCCCGAGGGCTTCACGCCATGAACTAAGCTGCATGGTAGGTTTAAGTTTTGCTCATTCAGACAGAAAAAATTACAGATATGCAGTAAAGACAGATGCAGACAAAAAACCTCTAGCTGGGTTACAGTGTGTTTAAAAATATACATAGGCTTGGGAGAGAAAGACAAAGGTTATATACAGTCACAGATTAAAAAAAATAGTTTAAAATAGTAAATCCCTTAAAAAGGGAATAAAGTAATAAATATGGGAAATACACAGAGAGTCTAGATTCTGTATGTTATTATGTTGTTTTTAGATTTTCTGATTACTAATGAGGGAACAATGGCTCCTAAAACACACTGGATTATGAAAACTGCTGGATTAAACCAATCTATATATTTTTTTAAATGTCTTGACTTCAAAATGGAAGTCAAAGATATCTTACTTTGGGGAAGAGGTTATGCTTTTATTTCCACAGGAGATGAGAGGCTGTGGATTTGTTCCAGGTTGGTATGGATCAGGTTTGACTGGGGAAGACTCCCTGAAAATCCTGACTATAGACATAAAGAAATAAACCTAAAAGAAAAAAATACAAAACACAAAACGTATATTTTACTTGCTCAAATATAAAACAAAAAAAAAATCATCTTTAACTGACTTGTACATACCATATATTCAATACTTGTAATGTATGTTACCTTTAAAAGTATGTATTTTCAGAACAAGGGAACCAAACACCAATGAAAATGGATGGCCCAGGTCCAGCATCTCAGAATGCCTGTTTTGTTTTTGTTTTTGGTTTTGGTTTTTGAGATAAGGCTTCTCTGTGTAGCTTTGTGCCTTTCCTGGAACTCACTCTGTAGCCCAGGCTGGCCTTGAAATCACAGAGATCTGCCTGGCTCTGCCTCCCGAGTGCTGGAATTAAAGGCATGCACCACCATGGCTTCAGAATGTCTCTGTTACAGTCTCCTCAGAATTCTGCATACAAAACAGCTTCAAGGCTGCTGGATGAGATGGTCCAGGCCCATAAATTACTCCAGCCAAGACCTAACAATTATCCTGATTTTCTCAAGGGTCCCCCAAAGATATCAGCACCCACAAACAACAGGAAGTAGTCTAGAGAATGATGTCCACATTCCAAAAGATGGGTTATGTATGTTTCTTATCATTTAAGGGGGGTTGGTTATAAGTTGTTATTGATAATGGTCAGGGAAAAAACTGAACAAAGGAGATTAGATTCAGGGATCTTATTCTAAAAAGAAAAAGGGGGATATAGAAATGACAGGATAAAGGGGTGGATTATTGCATCTACTTTTAAACTAAAAAAAAGCAACTACTAATCTTAAATATATTACATTGGTGTGGATTTTGGCTTATTTAAAGTAACTTTTGTTATACTCTATGTATGTTTCTACTCTTGTTTAGGGTATTGTGCTTATGCAACTCATTTAAAAATGTTATGTGCAGGGGGTTGGAGAGATGGCTCAGAGGTTAAGAGCACTGGCTGCTCTTCCAGAGGTCCTGAGTTCAATTCCCAGCAACCACATGGTGGCTCACAAC